AAAGATGTGGCCTGCTATGCTCAGCTTCCCCATCCATCCAAGTAGTCACCAGATTCATCTAATAATTATCATCAGAGAGGGAGTCTAAGATATCAGTAACTGCTCTGATCGTCCATTGATTAATTATTTTGCCATGTCCTGTCAGGTAGTCTTGCTGGAAATTTATTGAAAATTTATTTCCTCAACCCTGGAGATGTCCGGGAGGAAGGACAAAACTCCTCTGTTGCAGCCCTTTCTGATTCGATGGGCCTTCCCTCAACCAAGTTCAACTTAAGACATAGAACGTCTAGGTCAACAACAATCAATACCATTAATTTTTATTCTAGAGTACTCCAAGTGTAGAATTTTGAGTCCTTTGGCTGTTATTCTATACCCAGCTATAGTCTTATCAATCCCATTATGGAGGTGGAATGAAGTAGGAACATATTTGTCACCTCTCTTTACTTCATTTTCTTTGTTTTATTTTCCCTATAAGGTCCTTCAATAGGAGCTCCTCTGTGGTTTATAGGATGAAAGAGATTTAATCACCCACCTATCTGGGGAGTATAGAACTGGTTTTGTTCAAACTAGCAGAAGTCTTATAAGTAGTAAGATTGACTATTAGAATTTAGTGCAGGTAAAAGATTAAAATGCTCTTTACTATAGACAACACTTCATGTTCCAGGTAGACCTTCTACCTCAAGGCCAAGACTCTTCTATTGTCTACTTTGGTTTTGAAAAGTTAATTGGCGCAGTATTGATCCGATTTCTCTGGGTCTACTGTAAATGCTTCTACTCAGCTATAAATAAAATGGTGTACAAATCAGCAAAGGATTAACAATTATAAAGCTCATGTCATGACACTGAGGTGCTTTTTATGTCTGCTTGTATATGCTGATAACTTTGTCCTAACTGTGCCATTCTCCTAAGAGATAATGTTGTTGAATCATAGTCCATATGAAACAGAAATGGAATTTTCCATGGGCCACTGTGACCACTATTTCAAAATGCCTCAAGTTACTCAGTTCATCTGCAGGTGTAGCTTAGAGTAAGAGCCTCCTAGAATATATGTTGCTTTCACAGCTTCACTATGTTTTCACACTCTAAAGGATGCACACACTGCTATTTTATAACTCTCTTTTTTTCTTATCACTACTTCTCAGATGCTTTTCGTAAATGATGAAGAGAACATGCAATGTGAAATAATAAACTTTGGCTTGCTAACCTATCACTTTTACTTCTCTGCTATCAAAAATCATTTTGCATCATGATTTGTTAGAAAGAACCTGTTTTAGATTTCATTGTGTAGAGAAGTAATATCAAAGGAATACTTTTCAATTTCACCATAACTTATTATCATTTTATTATATGGTAAGCACTGAGTAAATAAATTTGTTTTCTTTCCTTATCTCTAGCCCAAAGTATTCTCCATACTTAGTCCCCTCTTTGGTTCTAATAAAAATTGCAAAGCAAGCTGCAAAATTGAGGTCACTTATGTGATCCCTAAATTACAGGAACTCAGAATTGCCAGAAAAAAATTCCACATTGGAAATTACAACATTAATTCAGAATGTAGACATGTTCCATGTAGCTTACCTTTATATAATATCTGTTTCCTGCATGATATGAAGAAAGACCAACATCCACAAAAAAGCCAAAATTACCTTGCATATAAATAGGTATATTCTGGATGCTCAGTTTGCTTACATATAATGCAAGATGTGATATAATTTGTATAAAACTTTCAAGCTGCATTTTAAAGATGAGTTAATTTATGAATGCCTTGGGAATCAAGATCTTGTGGTCAGATCCAATCTTTCTGAGATGTCTCTAGTGTTACCTTTGGGACAGATTTGGTCCACTTGGTGTTCTGACTATTTGTATAGATTATTTCCTCTGAAGTTCAAAGGTTTATAGATACACTACACACCCATAAATGGTAACCATAAAAAAATTAATGGCACATTGTGGTCATCATTTACCATGCTTATAAACAGTCATAATGTCAAAAGGTCCAATCGAAAGGGAATCGTGGGTTTAAATGCCTTATTAATATTGCTCTATTTGATCTGATTGATACTAATCATAGCTGCAGTAAGACAGAAGGCATAACAATTTTCATGTTCAAGTAATTTTCAAAATAATGTATTTAAATATCGGTGGTGCAGTGAATGTGGCTTTTCAATGTGCAAAAGAAAACTTCAGTTGTGGTTAGTATACAGTCAACTTTTGTATTATAGGACACAACAGAACTATAACATTAAATGGATAGTGAAAAACCCATTCAAAATGTCTAATAAAAATGATGAATGGATTCAGTAAGATTACAAAAACCACCTATCTTCTTTATATCAATTTTTATAGTCAGCTTTAGATTATAGTCCCACAGACTGAAATATAATCCTTTTGTTTGAATGAATTCTGAAGGCTAAGCTAAACACGACTTTAACTGCCACAAAACCACTATATAGGGACTTGAAGATCAGCACTCAGTCAATAAAAGCACACCAAGAATTTTTAGAATCTTTTAGAAATTCCAAAACTTCATAATAAGTTCTCTCTTCCAGACTGAAGCTACCATAAACTGAGTCTGGATAATTAGGACAACAATTAGTTTTATTTATGATGTGTTTCATATTCTTTATCGTAACCTTATACACTTAGGTTGTATATAAAAATAACCTTATTGCTGCATGATTATAGCTGCTTTTATTGTGAACCAGGTTGACACCAAGATAAAGTCTAGATTGAACACAACATTTCATTTTTTGGCAGTATCTTTCCCTTTGTATTGCCTTTCCTTCCTTTCCGCTAAGGAATAAAACTGGGAATTGTAAACATATTTTGGACTATCCAGTGAAAGTAGAAACAGCTCAGATTGGGGAAAGAAGTGAATTCCAGAAGTGCAGAACATCTTTGAGAACTTCTCTCAGCATATTGTTTCCAGCTAAATGCATGGAAATAGCTACTTCAGAAATTGAAATGTGATAATGTAGCTACAGCAGCTTTGATCTCAATTCAACATGTAAGCAGATTTCTAAACAGTTTGGAATTGATTGCAGAAATATGGCTAAGATAAAAAGGTATGTAATGTCCTGATTAAGTCCTTCAACTGCTTAAATTGATTCTTCTGAAATGTAAATTGTGTTATTCAGTGGACAACCAGGCCATCTATAAAATAACTTTTGAACTCTGGATTTTTGTTGATTAAAATGAAGGATTTTTTTTCTCTTAGTAAAAATGAAAAGAAAAAAGATTAATAGCACTGAAGCAGATACATCAGTTAACAATTCTGTCTAAATCATAAACACTGAACAAAATATCATAAACTCTGACTGTGATAATTATGCACTTCAGTAGCAATTTTCTGTTGTACTTCCTAAGATCATTTGCTAATGAGAAAATTATTTAACATTGCAGTCATGGTCTCCACAGGCTAAACTAAGAATGCCCATGACTCCCAAAAACCTAGAGCAATGAAAAAAGGTATCATAAAAAATCTAAAGCAGCATGTTGACTGTAAAATGAGAAAGATATCATGTTCATTCATACATTACAATGTCAAAGAGAAATGATTCTTTGGACTATGCTCAAAGAATTTATTGTTATAACTACCATTCCTATTCTTGACAGTGTCTTTTACCCAGTGATTCTCAAAATACTTAATATACATATTTAATTGATATTGAAAAGTAGGTATTTATAGGCTAGCATACAGATATTCTATATCAGTAAGCACTATGGAATAATAAACTCCTTGAGAAATAAATCTCTGGAGGTTTTATATTGCGGGCAAGTCCAAAACATGGATTACAAATAACAAATGGACTTTTTAAGAGACATCGCACTTTGATCTGTCAATGAGTTAACCAAAGACCAAATGAAATGGCTAGATCCAAGAACCTCTGAACCAGGATGTAGCCTTTGAAGACTGGAAATTTACCAAATGCAGAACAAACAAAGCAACTGCTAATAGAGAAACATAAATGGGCACAAAAGGCTATAAAGGAATTACTTGAGCAACAAGGAAAGCACTTTTAAACTGCAGATTAATCAAGGCCAAAGTAAACAAAACTGGCAGGAAAAACCAGACTCTGTGATTCAGAAATCAAAACATGGTAAAATGTTGGAACGGAACCACCACAGATATCCCAAAGGTCTTTTTTTCCTATCTTCAAATAATGCTTTAAAATGCTAGAAAAACATATAGATTTTTCTGTCTATAGCTTTTTGTTGTTCCTTTTGCTTTTTTTTTTTGTTGCTCACTTTGTACCTTTTCCTTTTAAATAAAAAAACCCCTATCAAATTAACCAACAAAAAAAAAAGTTCCCCAAAACCAAACCTGCTTTGAACATACTCTTTTTCTTATTTTTGCAGGAGGAAAATGGAAAGACAGCAGTGTACCTGGAGGTTAGGGCAGCTGAGCAATGTTACCACATTCACCTAGGGAATGAGTAGGAAATGGATAATAACCTCCAGGGAAGGATGCTTAATACAACAATAGCTTAAGCTGCCAGGTAGGAAAGGTGTTGCAAGGGCTGTGTTTTAAATATTTTCAGACTTCTACTGAAGTAGACAAGGTTTAAATGCAGCTCACAATAAATGATTTCCAACTGAAGAACACAATGAATCTGTTTTGAATCTGGTCTAAGCCTGGTTTTTCCAGACTATGTTATCCTGTTAATGAAAACACCAGACCTAGAATTTGTATGTGTGACATCAGCATGAAACAAACCTACACTATGTTTTTTTCAAAATTTTCTGTCTGCATTTCTCTGTTATTCTCTTTTTGAAAACAAATAAGATATATTGATTTTGCTTTAAAGGGGGAAAAATGCACGTCAGTGTGCTGAAATTTAAAATTCAAACTATACATACATCAACAGAATTAATATTGGAAATAGACAAAATGCAGCCTGCACTCATAATACAGAAATAGTCAATACTAAAGGGAATAGTAGCATCTCAGACCAAATCTTCATTGTAATCAGAAAGCTGATGGTTAACTACTTCATACTTACCTGCCCAGAAACTGCATTTTCACAAACAAACGTTTCATAATATTTAGGGAATTCTGGTGCATGCTCATTAACATCGAGAACTTGGATATACACATTTGCTTCTGAAATTTTTTCAGGATTCCCTAATGGTTAAAAAAAAGCAGAAATCAAAAGTTATAAATCATCTACAACACATTTTATAGTGTGTGTGTACATTAGAAAATGTTACCTGCTTTCCTCAGAGAAGAAAATAATTCCAAAGACCTACAAACACAATTTTTACTATTATTACAGTATACTGTTATAATAGTCTGTTTTGAAATAAGACATTTCATGTAAAATTTTGGATATGTTCCTTCTATTATTTGAGAATCTGAAACCAGATCAGAAACTGGTTTAAATGTAAAAAATACAACCTGATCTGGAAAAAATTATGTGAGGTTTTGTTCATGCAGAACTATTTACTATACTAACCATATGTAAGGTTATGTGGAAGGATGGTGTCAACTCCTCTAAGAGTATCTCTGGTCAAGGACCTTTTTCAGTGCAACAAGAGTTAAAATGAAAAAGAAGAAGCCATAAATAGGAACATACAGTAACAGAAACCTGAGGGAAAAATGATAAAGGGAGGAGTTGATAAGGACCAAACCTAGTCAGATACACTAACTGATGAGAGTGTGCAAATGTTTATTCCTGTGAGGTTATCAGATAGGTGACCTTGGCAATTGATAAACCAATGGAGGAAAAGGGGAAAACAGAAAGAAAACATACCAAGACACAGACCTGACAAAGCAAACATGGAGACAACGACAAGAAACAAACCTTATGATAATTGATGGGGTCTCCAGAAACTACAGGGCAAGAGTTGCAGGTGAATCAACTTGAACTTTGTAGCTGATAAGACTGTAAATCAGAGGGACCCCAGACCTGGGGGCTGGAGGAATCAGTGCAGCTGTTTGGACCCATGGGGAATGTGCAGGAAGGAACAGAGAGGGGGCAGACAAAAAGATGTATAAAAGGGGCTGGTCAAGTGCAAAATGGGGCCAGTCAGTTCTATCCTCTTACATCTTCTCATTAAATCTTTTCTTAGCCATCCCTCTGCATAAACTCACTCTCTATCATTGCATGTATATGTGTGCTGCAGGGGCTAAATGTCAGCTACTGGTGAGATCTGCATATGTTTAAGTGAAAATTGGTGCCAGATACTGGAGTTGGACAGAGGCCTGTGATGCCAGCTACTGGAGGGACTGGGGAGCAGAGGGGACAAAATGTCTGAATCTTCCCCAGGCTTGGTGTTTATGAGACGTCTATATGTGAGTAGGGGTCCTTGGGTCCATGACAGGAGTTTGTGGGGACCATGCTGGCATGCTCAGGGGGACTTGCAAATGTGAGGTGCATGTGGGACAAGTGTGTGAGTTCTGTGGGTTTGTCAGCAGGCATCGAGTATGAATAAATTGGTGAGCTGGGGATGCATGAAGCAGATAAGAGGACCTGGGATCAAGGAAGTGGTACTGGGAAAACAGAAGTAGGTACTGAAAGGATTTATGAGTGTGTATGTGTTTGTCAACCAGGAGAATGTTGTGCATGTGCATGTGTGTGCGTGTGTGCATGTGCATGTGTGTGTCTGTCTGTCTGTCTGTACCAGTGACCTTCTGCCTTTCCAAATGAAAAGGATGAGGGACTTGGCTGTCTGCGCCTGTAGTGTATGAGAGTCCTATACACAGGTGCTGCTGAAGGCAAAGACTTGTCTGTGGCAATCTGTGTGGCTGACCATGTGACTGACCATGTGTCTGTCCTCTGAGCCTCTGGGACCCGTGCTAAGCTGTGCTACTGGCTGAGTCTGCAAACATCCCTGAGACTGGGCCTTGGGTGCCCAGGCACCAGCTTGAGCTCTAGTGGCCAGGCAGCATAGTCTTAAACTAGAGTGACTGGAAGAGCTGACTACACTTCTTTGCATCACTTAACATCATGGTTACAACAATGATTGGTTATGCTCATTCCATTAAGAAATTCTTCTTCTCATCCTTTTCTTAAGTATTTTCAAATTTTGAACCTTTGGGAGTAAAATTCACTAAAATGTACGAGTTTTAAAAATACGTTTCTGCCACTGCTAGATATGGAGAAATTGCTATGGCCACTGACATGCAACCCTAGCCCAGGCAGAAAGCCAAGACTTAATTTGAAGCAACTGGTCTCCAAACACATATTTGCAAAGAAATCTGATTTTGCCCAGACACATCTAAGGCATTACTGCTGATAGACTTCATAGACGGGACTTTTAGTTTTGGTCCAAGTATTATTGTTGTTCCAACTACTATTTACACAACAGATTTAATTCTTAGGTATTTTGTAATCACAGAAGATCCACTGCTTCTGTTATACAAGTATACTTTATTACTGTGGATTTAGATATAAAAGGTTTGTCAGTACAGCTTATTCCCATATGAAAAGGAAAATAAACTCTGATAATATAAGGCACTTTCCCCCTGAATTTACTGCATTTACACAAGGTTATATTGCTCTACCTACCTCAAACAAGGAAAAGCCAGACATAACTATGCTAGTATCATGGTACAGAAGTTGTGTGTAGGCTAGGCTGAAAAAACCTAATGTAATGAATATATTTTTAAATATGCCACCTGAAAACAAGAGCAGGAATACTTGTAGGTACACCATTCTCCTGGAGAAACTGGCTGCTGATGGCTTGGATAGGTGCACTGTTTGCTGTGGTAAAATTGGCTGGGTGTCCAGAGAGTGGTGGTGAATTGATTTAAATACAGCTGGTGACAGGTCACAAGCAGTGTTCACCAGGGTTCAGTATTAGGACCACCTCTGTTTAGTCTCTTTATCAATGGTCTTGATGAGGGTATTGAGTGCACCTTCAGTCAGTTTGCAGATGATGTCACGTTGGGTGGGAATATTGATCTGTTGGAGGGTAGAAAGACTCTGCTGGGTTGACTGGCTGATGTCAGTTGTATGAAGTTCAACAAGGCTAAGTGCTAGGTCCTGCACTTTGGTCACAACAACCTGATGCAGCACTACAGGCTTGGGGCAGAGTGGCCGGAAAGCAGCCCCACAGAAAAAGACCTGAGGGTGCAACTGAAGTCTGAAAGGACTGAGGCAGCTGGGGGTGTTTAGTCTGGAGAACAGGAAACTCGCGAGGGACATTTTCACTCTCTATAACTATCAGAAATGGGGTTGGTCTGTTTTCCCAAGAAACAAGTGATGAGGGGAAAGAACCTCAATTTGCACCAGGGAGGAGATTGGATATTAAGAAAATTTTCTCTACAGAAAGTGTTGTCTAGCACTGGAACATGCTGCCCAGGAAGTGACTGACTCTGTATCCCTGGAGGTATTGAAAAGACCTATAGACCTGGATGTAGTGACCTGGTTTAAGGGTGGATTTAGCAGTTCCAGGTTTATGGTTGGACTTGATGATCTTAAAAGTTCCTTCCAACCCAAACAACTCAATGATTCTTGAGTCTACCTTGAGTAACTCTTGGAAGTCCTTTACCTATTAATACATTGAATCCTCACACGTCATAGCTCTAAGAAATGTCTGCTTTCACCACAATGTTATTTATTATTCTAGTAGGAAAGAAGTTTTTCTGAAATAGCAACATTCACATTAACATGAACATGTTGTTGGGTAAGAACTGTAATGAAGACATTTTTCCAGTGAATAAAATAGTCTTAAGACATTCCAAGAATACTGAATATCTATCATTCTCAGTATCTATCAATATCTCAATCTGCTCTGTCTAAACCAGAAATATATCAATCATAAAAATATTCATTATAGTTAAAATATGTCTCATGATGGGTGCTAGTATAGCTGCATCTGACCTGTTCAGAAATCCTTTAGGCGTTTTCTTAAATTAGTCAAATGGACCTTTAAAAGAAAAGTAAAATGTGCTCCTCTGCCTCTTTTCAAACTGCATCAGTTTAGTTGGTTCTTACATTACTTTTTAATGTATAATTCACTAGTTGCTTGGAGCAAACATTTGTTTTCTTGGATCTTATGGAATCTGTGCTGATAGCTTTGAGTCTTTTGCCAAAGGAAATGGCAGCAAAAGTAACTACCACAGAGATAAAGGGGTAGATAATCAGCAGTTTCACATTTCTATTCCTCTTGTGAAATCATTAGAACTGTACTAATTTACCAAACCCTATGATCAGTCAGCATCATCTCAAAAGTACGTCTTTGTGAGATGGCATTTCTCTTGTTGAGTCAAGCATCCATAAAAATGCAATAGGCAATGAAATAGTGCCCAGCTTGTTTTTTGGATAAACTTAAAAAGTAGCACACGTAATTTTTCTGAAATAATATTGAGAGTATAGAAACTTAGCCTCTTTTACTGAAGTCAGAATTGGATGTGTAGGGCAGAGATTTGACTGGATTATCATTTAAAGGAAAACATTGTAACTCTTATTAGAAAGCAGTCAATATCTTCGGTGACTTCAGTTGTATAGAAAGTGGCATAGGAAGGACCCAGCAAGATTTGCCTATTCCTAATTCACTTGTTCATAAGGTTCATGAACACTGCATTGGCTTTCAAGCCTACCCTTTGCTTGAACAAACAAATAAAAAGCACGTTGTTGGAATCACATATATTTTCTTTCACTAAAAGCACCTTTCTTTTGGTTTCCCTTCCCCCAACTCCCCCTAATAATCTTGTTTCTAATCCCTTAATGTATTTGGGCTTTTGGTTTTTTTGTCATGGCTGTTTTGGTAGGTTTTTTCCTCAGCATGGGGTTAAATGACAAGAAAAAGCATTTCTTACATTGCTGTATGTACAGAAGTTTTTAACAACATGGAAGTTTTTAATTTTTCTGAAATCACAGCTGTGTTCTTTTGGAAGGGAGGAACATATTACAAAGCCACTCTTTGAATCAGTGTCTGGTAAATATTTAATGATGGGTTTGGTGAAGCAGAAATACAGCTTTGGTTGATTGTGAAAGAAAGTAGGCAACATGTACTTTGTCTTTTAGCTCTTACAGAGGAAAACTGTTGTCAGAATTTGAATTCAACTGTTGCACTCATGTCTTTCATTAAGCTAAATATCTTTCAGTAAGCGGAAAATTTCTTTGTTATGATCTCTATGAGAGGTGCTTTACTTGCTTGTGACCAAAGTTAGTATCTTGCAGAGAAAAGCAAGGACCATCTCTAGAGATAAAATAGAACTCAATACTTGCAAGAGATTAAAGAAAGGTTGACATTGTCATCAGCCAGCAAAAATAAACCTGTAATAATAGCAACAATAATACTGACACTACCGCTAATAATAAGTGTTGTTGCTATAATTTATCGTTATATGGTTTATAGTCATTGTAGTATGACTATAATTTAGGCTAAAGCAAATTTCTTTACTTCTTAAAGGAAATGGACATGAATAGTGGGGTTTTTTTAAAAAAGACTACTCTAAAAAGTTAGAATTTGTGAACATAAATATATATATATGACCAAAGTGAGATGACAATTAAATATGGAATAAATTACATTATCCATGACTGAAACTTTCAAAGAACTGTCAGTTCAAAGAGTTATAGTAGGTCTGGAACCCATTATGAAGAGACGTCTGCAAGACTGTTTTGTCTTGAGGGTTAATTTTCTTATGACTGGAAGCATCAAGCAAAACTTATCATAGAATCATTGAGTTTGGAAAAGATCTTTAAGTTCATCAAGTCCAAATGTTAACATAACACTGCCACGTTTACCAGTAAACCATGCTCCCAGATACAACACCCACATATTTTTGAACTCTTCCAGGGATGGTGACCAAACCACTTTTTTGGGCAGCCAATTCCAATGCCTTACAAGCCCTTCAGTGAAGAAAGTTTTCCTAATGTCTAATTAAAACTTCCCCTGGTGCAACTTAAGGTCATTTCCTCTCATCCTCTTACTTGCTACCTGGCTGAAGAAACTGAACCCCACCTCCCTGCAACCTCCTACTCCCTCTGTAGAGAGTGATAGGGTCCCTCCTCAGCTTCATTTCCTCCAGTCTAAACAACCCCAGCTCCCTCAGTCACTCCTCGTAAGGCTTGTGTTCCAGCCCCTTCACCAGCTCCATTGTTATTCTCTGAACCCACTCCTGAACCATATTGTCTTTCTTGAAGTGAGGGGTCCAAAACTGAGCAAGTACTTGAGGTGTGGCCTCACCAGTACAGGCGAGGCCAAGTACAGGGAGATGATCCCTGCCCTAGTTCTGCTGGGCACACCATTTCTGTACAAGCCAGGATGCCATTCTTGACCACTTGGGCACACTGCTGGATCATGTTCAGCTGACTGTCAACCAGCACCCCAAGGTAGTTTACCTCCAGGCAGCTTGCCAGCCACTCTACCCCTAGCCTGCAGTGCTACATTGGACTGTTGTGACCAAAGGGCAAGACCTGGCACTTAGCCTTGTTGAACCTCATATAATTGGCCTCAGCCCATTGATCCAGCTTGGTCAGACCCAGGGTTGTATATCCTCTTTATTTCACACTGGCATTTTTTGCTTTTGTTGGATCTCTGTTTATAGGGTTCACTTTTCATGAACTATATTCAGTGATAGAGGAGGCATCAGAGCCATCAGAATCCCTTGGACCATCAATACATCCTGTCCATATCTCTCTGCAGAGCTTTCCTGTCCTTCAGCAGATCAACACACCCACAGCCCAACTTGGTGTCATATGTAATCTCACTGAGGGTGCATTTGATCCCCTCATCCAGATCACTGATTAAATATATTAAATAGGACTGACCCCAGTACTGAATCTTGGGGAACACCATTACTGACCTCCCATCAACTGGATAGTTGATGACATAAGGATTAGTAAAATAGTATATAGTTAAATAAGATAATTTAAGAATTTCCTGCTCTCAGATATGGTTAGAATGCTATTGTTTAAGCTTCAGTCTTATACTAGGTGAATGCCAGTTACAACCAAGTGAAAAATGATCAAAGGAAACTTGATTTCTCTTGAGACAGAAACAATTTAGGCACAAAGTGGAATGAGGACCAACAGGTTTCAAGTTCTGATTGCTTGCATTTATGTTCCAGTGACTTAGACCTATTTCTGTATACGTTTAAAAACATGCTCTTTCATTGGCATGAGGATATGATGATGCACACCACAGGTCTGCTAGCTGAAGCAAGCTTCTCTTACTAATCTCTGATCCCTGGCTCCTAGGGAGGTTGCTGTTGCAATGCAGTTTCAATATGTGCCTCAGGTGCAATGAAAATCTTGTTCGGATGAATGCTGATGCTATTTTGATTTGGCTTCATTTGAGCCACAATGTCATCCACAAAATGTCTCATGCACACAGTATATGTTATGACTATATTTCAAGGAATAAAATGCTGCTAGTTTGTGATATAAATCATTTCAGGTATGCCCAGACCAAGGTGACCTATCTTCAGTGTTCTTGAACATAGTATTATAGACAGTAACTGTGTCATCATTAAAGAAATAAAGATAAGAATACGAACATAATGAGGTCTTGGTTTCTCTACAATAACTTTCATTACTGTGAAAGACTCTTTTGCTTCAGGAGACAGTTATTCATTTGTAACATGTGGTTCCTTCCTATTTTATTATTTAACTAAACAGAAATGTCTGGACCAAAGTCATCCTGCTGTGTTTCCATAGTGCTATTCAAGACATGACAAAAATATGCCAGAGATCAATTTTACCAACACCTGACAGATGCCCAACAACATGAGAAAGAAAATGCGTTCATACTTAAAAGCTCACAGAGAAGCTGAAAAGGAAGATAATGCTATAAATTCCTAAATGAGAATTAAAGTCTTCAACCAAAACAGATACTATCTTATAGTAAACTTGCTGCAGTAATGTTCTACGTATATACAGGGAATGTTCCCGTCTAGAAACAGTGCAGTTTATGAATATGTGTTTAAAGTGATCTTCGCAATAAACAGCATTTAACTGGGAATTAGGATTAAAGAAATGTGCCAAGATCTTCCAGTAAAACCTGTCTGATTCATTGATTGGACTCCAGTTTCATATGGGTTTTCTCCTTCTTGAGTATGGATTGGATTAGTTTTTAAATAATATCCAAATAATCTTGTTAAACTGCCTTATAAATCAGTAGTTGCATTTCTAGTGCTGTCCCAGATTTAGGGCAACAAGCTAATCAAAAGCACAAACAGCACTAATTTGCATTTGACTTTTGAAAAAAATTGACAGGTGAATACTATATAAAGGTCGCTCCACAGATTTAATTGTCACTGAATAGAAGTCTAGCTGATATAGGCTTTACATTCACAATTAATTTGAGCCACAGGTTTCTGACTGGTGTTAAATTAGACCCTGCCTAATTTCACACTAGTCAAAAATCTGGTGTGAAATTAACCAGGGTCTAATTTAACATAAGATCTTGCACTGCAGGAGCAATTCATATGCTTCAGTGTAACTTGAAAGTGTTACACTCTCGATCCTATTACGGTTTCTTTTTTTATAAGGTCATCTTTTATGAAAAAGCACAGGACCTTTGAGGTCAAATACATTCCACTTCTATTTAACTAATCATTTTAATAATGCTCCTTAATGTAGCAAGCAACAGTAAAGTAATGAGAAAGAAGCAAGTATTCTCAACTTGAAAGAAGGCATATTCAGAGGATAATTACAGTTCACAGTATATAAAATGCTGCATTCCTTAAATTTCTTACTCACTTTTTTCTGTGGCTGTAACAGTTATGTTGTGCCAAGAAGCTATCTCTCGGTCCAGAGGTTTAGTCGTAATGATTGTTCCATTGTGTTCATTGATGCTGAACAATCTCTTTAAATGCTTACTGTGGACAATAGAGTACCTGCATCAAAAAAAAAGTAGAGAGATTCCCTAATACTGAAATGTTGCATCAGAGGCAAGGACATAGCAAGCTATTGTCAGTTTAAAAAACAGAGCTGGTTCATATATACATATAAATGTGTCCTGTATCAACTCAGAAATCATGAAAAATATACAGTTATAAACATTTTAAATTCACTGCTGCCAAGATCAAAGCTCTTCTTTTTATAAAACTAAATATGTCTCAGATCTATATTAATGTGAGCTGAATCTGAAATGCATTATTCATTGTTGCTTCTAAGTCAGGCTCACAGCAAGTGAATGACTTTGTTGAAAAGAAACAGCAAAAGTGCCACTTGTGAAATGAATAACACCAACAGCTAAGTGGAGGTATAATGGCAAATCTATTTTATCATTGCTGACATGCTCTGATACCAAGGGAGCAGGCATTATAAGGACAGACAACTATCTGTAATGAGGTGACACCTAGGCAGGGTACAAAATCCTAATGAAGAAGATAATTGCATATGAGTCCTGTGTTCCTGAGTTTTCCCTGAAAAGTCTCAAGATGGTATACTATGCCCATATGTGGACATGCACACATGCATGTACATACATATATGCCTCTCAAATTATGAAAGTCTAACCACTGGTCACAGGCCAGAGGTGGACTGAAAAAGATACCAAATGTATTGGTTTAAGTAAAAAGGATATTTACTAATATTTTAATGACCTACAGAGGAAAAGACCATAAAGTGTATTTAATGAAAATAAACTTGAAATGTTCTTTCCACACCAATTTGGAATTCCTGTGTGCAACTATTCCCTTTTATTGTATGTTTAATTGTGCTTGAAAAAGTCTTTCTGTCTCTTGTTAATAGTTAGGTCCCCAGAACATGTTATGTGTCAGCAGCTGATGACTCTCTAACTTATCATTTATAGTCACATTTTGTGTGTTTCGAAAATCAGTAAAAGGATAAATCAAGGAACCAGGACAACGCTGTAAGTGCAAGTTCTTATAATTTGAGTCAAAGTTTTGACATTTATAAACCTCTATTTTAGGTATTTACAATTTTTTTTCATGTCACTATTCCTCATGTCATGCATCAAATCTTGTTTAAGGTTTTCTGACATTTTTTCAGTTTTGTTTGGGCTTTGTTTTCTGGGGGTTTTTTTGGTAATCTGATTTTTGTCAAAAAAAATTACAGAAAATCAATGTTGGATATTTGCTATTTTATCATTACTGCTGTAGTGAGATTTTTTTGCATGTGTTTGTTTGGGACCTGGGGTCCACAAAGCAACATAGCTCATTTGTCATGTAATAAGTAATTGTTGTCATTTATGATAGCAGTGGTTTCAAAATGCGATTCATTTACATGGAATTTAGCCCAAAAAGCATATCTTTATATTAGAAGTGACATACTCTGTTCTAAAGAATATGTGCACCACCATTTTGGGACTATGAAGACATACTCACTTTGTAGCAAGTTCCTTCAAAATATTTTAAACTAAGAGGACATAGATATGTCTAAACATTTCATTGTTCCACAGGAGATGTCGCAGTCATCTAAATAAACCACCAAACAAGTCTTTTTTTGGGAGGAATGAAAGAGTATGTGTATATTTTTATTCTTTCTTATTTAACCTATGACTAGCTTACTAAATATCAATAAATGAATGTAAAACAGAACAAATGATCTTGCATTGCCTAAATCTCTGAAACTATAACTGTAGGTAGCAATACATATATATATATATTCCTGCTATTAGAAATCTACACACCATAAATTATTTTTTCTCAACCATTTGTCACTGTCTCCTAGCATCTAAATTGCATAATACACAGTGATGTCAGATAATTCAAGAGGCCGCTTCAATTATAAACCACATGTTAAAGATTATTTACCTGTTTTCTCCTTGAAGATACAGCAAAAATTATTTATTATGAAAATCGTTAAATACAGGATCATCTGTTGCTTGGGGAGTGGCTGAGTTATTGTATGGCTGGTGGTGAGCAAATGTTTTGGGTCTTTTTTGCATTCCTTTTATTTTTTCTTGGGGGTTAGTTGTAGGTTATTTCCCCACCTTGTTTTATTTTTTTCTCGTTTTTTTTTTTCTTAATCCTTATTAAACTGTCTTTACCTGAACCCATGAGTTCTCACACTTTGACTCTTGCATCCCTCCTGCATCTCAGTGGGTGAGGGAGCAAGCAAGTGGCTGTGTGGCCCTTAGCTGCCTGCAGGGGTTAAACTGTAACCTCTAGAATAACTTAGGCTACCACAATGAAAGCATAATTAATTGTAATTATGAGCCAAAGTAAGGAACAGAAATAGCCTTTGGAAATCCCAGCTGTATTTATATTTGAGACCTGTTCACATTTTAAGATAGGTACCTGACTGGAATGTCATCATGGTCTGGATCTCGAGCAGTTACGACCCCCACCAGAGAGCCACTCATAGCACCTTCAACAATCTCCATCACATAGTTCTCCGAGGTGAAAACTGGAGGTTCATCAGCATCTTCCACATTGATTTTGACAATGGTTTTGTCTTCAAATGGTCCTTCATTTAAGAAACGCTCATCAATGTACCTATTTACAACTTTTGCTTGAATACTGTATCTCCTCCTGCTCTCATAATCCACTCTCTGTTAAGAAAGAGAGATTTGGAATATTTCTTTCTTCCTATTTGAATTAAACATGATTCAATAAATGCCATGAGATTAAAGACAAAATAATGCTATCCTTCTTTTGGGAATGTTTGAAAAACTATTTACTTCTAAAAGCAGTTAATTCTAAGATTTCTTTTTTATGTTAAAAGCACTTTAAAACCGAACTCTGCAATCCCATTGTTTGCTTTCACATTTACACTGACTTTAATGCTACAGTCAAACAACACTGTAAAAAAAGCATTCCTGTAGTGTTGCACCTAATAGCACATAGTTACATTACTATTTTAGATAGTCTTTGTCTTCTGAATAAAAAAACCTAAAAAAGGCATACTAAGTAAATAGCTTACTGAACTGTAATAAATCAATATAGAAAAAGAAAAGAATCCAAGAACAAGCACAAACAGAAAAAGATCCATTTATAACATTCAGTTCTTCAGGATCCTGGATTTCACTAGACTATTGAATTCTATCTTCATTGCCCCAGATGATCCAGAATTCTTCTTGTATGATTCCAAAATAAATCACCAAGTATCACCAGATGATCCAGAAGTCTTCTTGTATGATTCCAAAATAAATCAACAAGTATCAAAGACTTAAAGATCTTAATTAATAAACTGGCATTTTTGAGTGTATTTAGTGCCTTTTCAAAGCTATGTCAAAACTCCACTGTCTAATACTGTAATAAATTCTGGCTTCAGTTAACGGGGCATGTTGGAAGTGAGGTAATATTGTTTGCAATCTATTGATAAAGATTTTACAGATGATGCACAAAAGAGATAGAACATTTAAAGACTTAAAGATCTTAATTAATAAACTGGCATTTTTGAGTGTATTTAGTGCCTTTTCAAAGCTATGTCAAAACTCCACTGTCTAATACTGTAATAAATTCTGGCTTCAGTTAACGGGGCATGTTGGAAGTGAGGTAATATTGTTTGCAATCTATTGATAAAGATTTTACAGATGATGCACAAAAGAGATAGAACATTTATTCACAATGGGATACACTGTGTTGCACAGCCAGGGATAAAATTAACATATTCTGACTGTCACTATTGTATTCAGCAGTAACACGAATGAGTCAAAAGTAAACAGAACAAAAACCATTTTCCTTTTTATCCCCTAATACTCAAATCAAATCACAAAGCCTAAAGAAAGAATAAAAAATAATAGAATCCAAAGCAACAGGCCTTTTTAAAATATCCAGCTTGCCTAAGGATGATCTTTCTAGCATTTAGAGATTTTTAAGAAGGTTTTTGGGATCTCACCTTTTTTAGTAAGATAATTCCTTCTTGAGTCTCATTGTTAGTAATGATGTCAAAAACATCTGAGTTATCTCCTTCAATGAAATAGTTCATGGCTGCGTTCTCCCCTATGTCGCTGTCTTCTGCGAAGACTTTGCCTACAGTGGTGCCCACAGGAGCCTCTTCAGAGACACTCATATAGTAGAGTCCTAAAGAAACAAATACTGACACAGTTAGAGATCTGCTGTGGTTAATACCTGCTGTAGCTATGATGGCATGAGGCCATCAGAAACCTGGGGAAAGCCCCCAGCTTTTATGAGAGCAATGAATATAATCTAGCATTGTATAGATCATGGGGGCAGGACATGACAATCTTTCCAGTTGTGAGTCTTCCCCTCTCAGCCCAACTTTAGCAATAATTAGAGCAGAGGACAACCGGTAATGAGTCTAAACTGAAGGAGGGAATATTTAGATTAGATATAAGAAAGCAATTTTTTACAGTGAGGGTGATGAAACAGGTTGCTCACAGAAATGGTGGATGTCCCATCCCTGGAAACATTCAAGTTCAGTTTGGATGAGAAACCAGACCTAGTTGAAAACACTCCTCCCTATTGAAGGGGGGTTGACATAGATGACAAGGTCTATTCCAACACAAACTATTCTATGATTCTATGGACCAACAGGGTGAAAAAGCAGTGGAGGGCAGTATTTCCCAACCTTATATCACTACTTTATTCCTAACAGCCCAGTGAGCAGCTCCAATATCTGCTATTTACTCCCTGGACAGAGGCGTTCACATAAGTTGCCTAAAAGATAACAGTATCTGTCAGAGAAGAATGAAAGGAGGAAAAGAAGAAAGAAGGTATGTGAAAATGGCTCTAAATATCCTGTTTTCCAGATATTAGACTTAGGCAGTGCAAGCAATATGGAAAGCAGTTTAGTAAGTGATTTGTCTCCCAAGCCTACTAGTAAGTAAAAAAGCAGGCCTGAGCTCTTTTCAAAAGGTAAGTTTTCTTTTCCTCTTGGTTTTTGAACTTTTGTGCAGGCTGGTTTTTAATTTTACTTTTTTAAAAAATCTCTATGCTGAAGTCAAGGCACAGCCCTTTTCTGAAAAGATCTACCAGTGAACCCAACAGATCTACAGTGAATCTAAAGCACCTTTAAACTTCAATTACTGTAAGTACCCTATACTCACGCTGTTGAAATTTGGGTGGATTGTCATTGATGTCAGAGAGGTTGATGGTAACAGTAGCTGTTGCTGAAAATGCCCCTGGTTGCCCAACCATATCTTTGGCTTGGATGATGATCAAATACTGGTCTTTTGTTTCTCTGTCCATTTGAGAAGCCATTCTGATGACCCCTAAAAATGAAAAGTATAATATAATAGCCTATAATAGTCTCAACTTTTTTTGCAACATCTGACAGTATAATACGGATATAAAATGTAGCACTGTGTGCAGTTATGAATTTACATTCTAGACCATGCACAGCACAACTGTCCTAATACTGGGAATTAGCACTCGAGGTAACATCTATGCTGTATGGCAGATCTATTCTGCATAGTTAGAGCTCTGGCAAGCAGAATACACCATATATTTCCTCTGCCATGTATAACCATCTCTTTTATTCAGAAATTAATTTTTTTTTTGGTAGGGTCGTCACATATCTGTGGTTTCTCCAACACAGAGAAAGAAATTTCATGAGTCATAGAACTGTTAAATGAAAAGTGTTCCTAGGTCCATTTGTTCAATGGGGTACTCAGAATCCAAAACTTTTCTTTGATAAGATTATTTGCTAAATAAAGTTTTTATTTTCAAGAGGGCAAGAATTTTAGATCATATGGGAAAGAAAAAATTGATTTTCTTTAGATCTAGGATTGATTTTCATAGCTTTAGCTATGCAGAGAGGTAAGAGTAGGGTGGTATCAGCTGATCTTTGTGTTGGAATGAAGAAAGATATTTTTGCTTACATCCATTTTATCAGTTTATGAATGTTTTCAAGTTACAAGTTCATTTGTAGTACCTGTCTTTGGCTCCACAGAGAAATATGGCTGGCCCTGAATGAGACAGTAAAGCAGACGAGCATTATTCCCATAAGAAGGATCATCACCATCTGTAGCTGTTACCTGTGTAACCGAAGTACCTCAAGGAAAAATAAAATAGATTATGTTTATTTACCTCTTGTATAAATTATCTCATAATTACAAAACATAAACTCTTTAAAAACCTTTTAACATACCAGCTATATTAGCAAACAGTCCTAAAAATTTACAAGAGCAAATGACATCTTCTAAAATTTAGCTTTAAAAAGGGAAAATATTTCCTCAGCAACTATTTTTGTTGCATTCAAATTTTCCATTAGAATAAAAAAATAGGCATACAACTTTTCAGCACTACATTAATGTTGGTTAAAATACTACATAAATCATGCCTTTTTCCCTAATTTCTGATATGTGACTAGAGTACAGCAAATTGCTTTTCCTCCTTTTGTATATTCTTCAAAGTATTTTATGGATGTTTCCCATAGGAATAAGAAAACACAGACACTTTATCACCAGTACGCTACTGGTGATAAAGAAATTAATTGTCAGCAAGCAAAGCAGCCAAGAAGTATAACAAGGCTCTGATAAAATTTTTTATCCTTGAGTCTTTAATGAGCCTGCCCCAGTGCAAAAGTGATGGCAGAATTCCCAGTGCAAAAATACAGCAGAATGAAACTGCAGAGCTTGATTTCTTCCCTGACTGGAAGCTGTTTATATCCTAGGTAGAAGATTGACAGCAATCTCATGACACCATCAGTAATGACTGTCCTTTAAAAGAAAATATTCACAGTGGCATCATTTTGTAAGGTAATAATTATTTTTCATCTTTTTTTCCTCACCTAGGTTCTGCATTTGAATACAAATATCACTTCTTGTGAGGAACAGCAGGAAATCAAGCTACTTTCTAAAAATTTCTGGCATAGATTCACACGGTTGCACCTGCTTAACAATACAGCTGTACAGCTATGCTGGAGGAGAAAAGAAGAAGAAATGATGGAGTGCAAGGAGTTAGACCAGAAACACCTTTTTGATGACAAAAGCAAAGTTGATACTTGTCCCCAAGAAAAACAAATACAGTAATTCCTGAGTTTTCTAGCAGTTCAATAGTTTTATTTATAAATAGAAATTTAAAAGGCTTTCTCATATAAGCATATGCTAAAATAAATATTTTCATTGTTTAAAAAAATATTTTTTGCATTTTCTCTCAATTTGTTCAGCAGCACTTCATGTGACTGTATATACATATGATTGCATAATGCATGTTTTCTTCTCCAGGAGTGGAGGTACACTAAGCTGTTATCAATTCCTATCGACTCTTGGACCTATTTGTCCTTTAAAACCTACCTACAATATCAGATTTCTGATATTTTGCATGCTTTAGCTGTGTATATAGAAAAAATGAAATCTTCAGTAACAAAACTGCTAACTTTGTATCAGCTGTGATCTATGGAAATTGCTTTCACTATTGCAGAAAATTCATCATCTAAGACAATTTAGCATGACTAGAATACAGTTGCTTTGAAAAACATTGGAGTGCTAGTTAGGGATGGATCAAGATCTATGAATAATCCAATAGATGTGATCTGTCATGAGTGCCATTTTCTGCTAAATAAACCCAAGTACCCACAATTATGTCAAGAGATGGACTTATTTACAGCACCATTTTTAGTAATCAGGAATAAAAGCCAGCATATACAGGACTGCAAAGTTATCATTACATCTTTTGTGCATCTCACACATTTAAAGGTAAATCTATTTTCTGCACAGTTTCTAACATTTATAAAGCAATATTGAATCTAAAGCAGCATCTTCTGCTTCTCTAAGACCCAAGCATACTTTTCTGCCTGCCTGTTGACTCTTCTAGAGTATAGCAGAAGCAGAAGCATTGAATTTGTCCAGTTGGTCTCAGAGAGATGCAGCTGGTGGATGCAATGAAAAGATGAACAGGCAAGAGGCATCTAGTAAAGAGGGAGCTGACCTGAAGGGAAGAAATAACACATATCCTGCACTCTCAGAAGGAAGACTATTTCTAAACTGGGGTGACAGGAGACCATGTAAAAAGAGGGCTATGGTTTCTCACATTATTTTAGAACAAAGATTTCATGCTGTCTACATGAACCTCTACATTAAGTATGGACTATATAATAAGCAGGATAAAAATGTTATCTTGGGCTAGGAATATTTTTTCTGTTTTTAATTTTTCACTGCCATGTAACCTGTATTTCTTTATGCATTTAACCAGCAGAAAACAAATAAACAAGCAAAAACCTAATAAACCAAACAAAATCCCCAAACCCAACCCAAACCATTTGCTAAATGGAGTCATGCTTACCTAATAGTTACATTTGAGTGACAGAAATTGCAATGTTAATATTCTGTACTCATAAACTCCCAAAAGCCATCATTTGTAACTCCACAGTTGTGAGAAGAATAATTGATCAGATACAAATCATATCTTTTAAAAAAATCAGTTCATATATGACTTCACAGATACCCAAACAAGCAGGCAATCAAGAAAAACCCAAACCCTAGCTCCTAGCATTGCAGGCATGACATGATATAATTGACAATTGACTTTTTTTTATTAGCTTTATTAAAAGCCAACTACTACTTTGCATCTCTGCAGCCTTGGTTTTACCCTTCCTGGGCAAAACATAGGAGTGCCATTTATGTGCTGCAGCCCATTAGGTAAGCTATGGCAAATAGCTCATTTTTCTAACTAGGGCTTGAAATCTATAAAGACATTAAGTACTGATAGATTATTGCATCTGCCTCTTAACCACTCCATCAGATATACTGCATTTGTACAAGTTTAACAGCTATATGGAAGACTCTTAATGTAAAATCGTACCAAATGCCTGAGGGAAAAACAGTCCTGTGTTCTCAGAAGAGAGTCCATTTGCTGACACGCTTTTCATTTACTGTGACACTTGCATATAAAACCCTAATAAAATTAAGTACTGAAGATAAAAGAGAGCTAATAAAGGAGCAAAATGAATTCTAATTTGTGGCACATTAGTATATATATTGATATTTGTACCTAAATTTAAGCAAAATTATCTGTGCCTATTTTCTGGTTCTTTTGGGTTTTTTTGTGGGGTTTTTTGTCTTTTTCTTTTTTTTTCTTTTCCTATATTTTTTCCCTGTTGCCTGAGTCAAGTGGCTGGCTGTGAATTATTTTCACCTTGCTTTCCAAGTTCCAAAATATTCACCAGCAGTGATCTGCTTTCCCAAATATTGACTGTGCTTCCATAGATTGTTTTCTGAGAGGAAATTACTAGGATATTTAATATCAGGGAGTTGAATCAATGCTAGAGAACTGTGAAACTGAGCAAGACTCTGTATTACACTGTATCAGTTAAACTAATTCTGTTCTACACCCCTCATTTTGCAAGAGTATATTCTAATTTACTGGCAGAAAAACACTGATATAATGAACCATTATGTTATTGATGCTGCAAATTTTAGTTGGTTACTCTTTCTCTGTGCTGGGAGGTTATAATGGATGCACACTGAAACAGGTGCAGTCCCTACCTTTTGAGTAGTGGGATAAGTGAGCCCAGAGAAATACTCATGGTGTGTAGCTCAGCTGTTTCATATGTTGGAGCTGACCACTATCAATGCATATGTTCCACTTACCTTGTATATTGCAGACATACACATTAGTATCCCAGTAGTGTCTACATGGAAGAAGTAGGTGAAAATATGATCTATGGAATTGATATGGTATTAGTGCTAAAGAGGTCCAGAGTAGAAGAAGCAAAGTAGAAAATATGTCAAGATCCATATCATACACTGGATGATTGCATATCTGTGAGTTTACTATTTCAGACAGTCTGTGCCTGAGACAGGAGACACACAGGGATCTTGCTTCATTTTCACCTATTCTGGCAAATGGGAGATGGTGTTACTTCTTTTAAATTTATTTTTATTCATTTAATATAATTCTACATTTCACTAGAATATGCTTTTAAATAATATTACAGGAATATCACAAAGTAAATCAAGTTTTCTGCAGCTTAATTAATCTTACACTGAAGTGATATGGCATTTTAGGAATCTAAATATATAACAGACAACAGAAAGGTGGAGCACTTCATTTTAGGGTGTTTGTTTATAGCAAACTCAAGGCAGTATAGAGTAAAACTTCTCATCTATTAATTGTTTATTGGTGGTTTCAGGTGAGAAACATCTATATATATATATATAGGAAGAGATTGCTACTGCTGTTTTGGGCTGTTAAGTACCACCCAACCTGATTATTTTTGGTTTTGTTTATTTTTTTCCATATAGCCATCACTAAGACAGAAAGATAAAATGAAATAAATTCATAAGTCAGATGTTCATACTCTTATGTGAATGATTGCAACACTCTGTGAACATAAATGAAGTCATACTAAATGATCAGGTATTTAGACACATTTTTATAGGAGACTAAGTTCCTTATAAATGATGCATAAACACAGGAAAAGAAAAATAAAAAGAATTATCACAGTCCTAAATCTGTGTAATCCTAGATAATTCTAGACATTGAACTGTATCAATTATTACTATGAAGGCATAAAAAAATAAAAATTAAAAGGTCCTTGACAAAACACGTGTCTTCTAGACTCCACACTTGAGTGAATGAGCAAGATACAAAGACTGGAAGAACCCTCCGAACAAACAATTGACTATGTTAGAAACAGTTATTTTACCAAAAGCTCAGATGCAGAATAAGTCTGACTGCACCGGAAGAAAGTGGCAGTGAAGAAACAATCAGAAGTGATTCCCCTGGTAGAAGGTAGCATGAGCAGGGTGACTAGCAAGTAAATTGATTAAATGGCAGTCTTTTGTAGCTATTACTGGTAGTGATGGTGAGCTGCTGCTTCCTGGCAGAAACTAGGATACTAACCTCACCTGATCAAACACCAGACATGAATATCCTTTTTCTTGCAACTGTTACCTGGATGCTAGAAGATAAAGTTTAGTGTGCTGTGAAAGACCCACTGATTCTTCCCAAAAATTTGAACAAGTAGTTCTTAATGAAACACAGTTTTTTTTATTACCTTCTATGGTTACTGATGCTATTACATTAATCACCTCATTAATTCATACTGTTAAAGTAGCACAATATTTGAATTTCTTTTCAATATTATTTGCAATGGAAATAGTCAAAAGAGGTAGGGGTATGAATTTAAAAGATTACTGGGATTCTTTCTGTAAGATTTAAAAAAACCCACTCTTCCTTTGATTTTGAAGATAGTTATTTGGAGATAGCATCTATAACATGCCTGTTTATGTCAGCTGTATTTGGAGCTTTTGAAGGATTTTAACATATTGTGTATACACATCATGTTTGCACATGTGTATGTGCACATAGACATATATATATACACCTATATTTGTTGGATGTTGACTTTGTTTTGTATTTGCTGTATTAAGTTTCCAGATACATGACACATCCTAGTCAGGTCTGTTTGATCATTTGGAAGTGGGAAACAGGAGCTGCAGGGATGAAGTTGTTCCTCTTGACAGGAAAATTACAATTCATGTGCTTAGGAAATAAGAAAGCAGCCATTCACTGCATACCATCTAATCTAAACAAGAAGACGACTGATAGGAAAGAGCCTTGGTGGTGTAAATAAGTAGGCAACATGCAGAGTGCAAGGATGGCCATCACGTCAGCCCCACATCAGTTTCACAACACATCCATTTCTTTTCTGAAGGAAACTATCCTTATCTGGGGAGGGGAGGGGGAAGGTGTGTGTGTGGTGGAATGCTGAGTGTCTATGGCATGAATGTGATTCTTTTCAGTTACTGTAGAATACGCTTTTTATTACACAGGGTATAATAAATGAATGCATATTGTTTAAGTATTAGGCAGAATTAAAATAGACTGAATTACGCTATTTGAACTTTTCAGTTCAACAAAGCTCATATTTACTTCCTTAAAATAGTCAGCTGAGGCCAGAGAACATTGAAGTTTACATGCATGCTACTTCTTTTCCAGACTGGTAGAAGCCAGAATAGTTGGTCTGTAGAGTTAATCACACACTGAAATCACACACTGAAACACTGAACAATTTTCTAGAGACCAAAGTGCTACACCAATTGAAAAAGCAAAAAAATTTGCCAGCTCCAAATCTCCTTCACAACTGGCTATAATGTTCTCCCTATTTCAACTGGTGATGTCATATTTCTAAACAAGTACAAATTTCAAGGCTGAACCACTGATGGGAAAGACAACTGTCTACAGTCAATCCAAGAGTGTATCCAGAATCTGTAAAAGGACTTGGATACATGTAAGTACCTAAATATTTAGAGATAAGGATGTTAATTAAGTAGAAGTATTTAATTCCCTCAAGTTGAGCATATTTCTTTGCAAATTTCCAAGTTTGTAAAATATTTGCTTCCTTCTCACTGAGAGGCAGTCTGTAAAATATATTAAGATTTTATATCAACACAGCTATCCAGAAAAAAATCAGGAAATAAAGAGTTTGATTCACAGCACATCATACCTTCAGGTGACATCTCTGGAACAGTGGCCACATAAGGTCCATCCAAGAACTGTGGTTCGTGATCATTGATATCTCGAACCTTGATAATAAATTCTGATTCAGGTTCAACAGGAAGCTGAGTACTCCTGTTAATTGCTTGTGCTCTTAGAGTGTAGAAGGGTTTCTTTTCTCGATCCAGTTTTTGTGTCACATAAATTGTGCCGTTATATTCATCGATGATAAAAATGCTTCCAGCTCCCTCCCCAGTCAAAACGTATTTTAGATTGTTATCCTGCTTGTCTAAATCTGATTTCAGCTAAAAGTACAAAACAGAAAAATAAGTCACACTCTGGGAGGATACAAGTTTTGTAATATTCATTTTAGGCTTTGTTGTTTTCTTCTACAGCGAACACTATCACTAAAGAGCCTTCTTGCATACCAATATTTAAAAGCAGGTACTGTCACATTTGCAACCAGCCATGGCTCAGTTTTAAAATATTGATATAACAGACTTATAAATGCATGAAAACCTGAAAAAAAATGCTTCAGCTACTTAGAAGTGAAGGGAATGAATGCAAGTGCTTACTTTAGTTCATTGCTTTCTCAGCTTGCATACAGTTCTGCTGAAAATAATGTAAAGGTCATTAAACATTACCTAAATTTTTATTATTGTAAATGACAAGTGAGCTTTGTAAGTTTCGTATAGATTTTTTTTTTACTCAGCAATATTAAGTTCAAATATGAGCTACAGCAATGTTCTATTTCTGTTGAAATATTAAAGAGGTGAAAAGCCATTCTGTGATGTAAGCCTATATTATTTATTCTGAAATAAACTGATAGACATTTTCCATTTCCTTCCAGGATAATCTGCACGCTGTGTTGTCTTGCTAAGATGAACTTTATGATGATGATTTTTTTGATGAAGCTGAGCCCTGGAGAAAATTTTGGTCCAGCTGTATTTGTTCATGCCAACAAAATAGTTCTGTTAATATTAACAATATATAATATAAAATTTTAATAGAAATAACTTAATTTCTTAACACGTCAAGCATTCAGAGTTGAATTTTATGGGAATAGTAATTTCTATTGCATCATTATTTCTTGATTTTTTTCTCTATTTATTTTGGGTTTAGAACAAAAGATGTCAAAATCTCTAAGAGCCTGGATAATAATTGAAAAATCCGAAGTTGAAAAAAGTATTATTTGACCTGCTTCTCTTATGAAGGAACAGAATTAAAATGCAAATAATCTGCCTGTTGACTTCAATTATCTCACTCTTTTGCACCATGCTTATTGACTGTACAGGTCAGTGTACAATATGAGGCCATAGAATGGGAAAGAAGCAACTATGGGGTGTAAAGGGCCCATATCCCTATTGGATTTACTCAAATATTTTTCAATATCTTATGAAATTATAAAAATAATTTAAACTTTTCTTTGGAACAATGCCTATGCCTTTTGAAGATTTTTATAATACATAATTGTCTACATGCACCAAACTGATACTTTATTCAGAATGTGAAAGGCACATATATGAATATGTCATCTGATGTGAAGAACAGTTTTAAGTTCCTGCTCTGAGTTCTGTAAAAATATGTAAGCTCTAAATTATGTAATTACCCTTGCCAGTACAATGGAAAGAATTTTCATGTTTGGGGAGTTTAGAACCATTTAAAATATGAACAGCCTAAAGTCAAATATTTAGAATGTAAGTAGTTGTGTGCGAAACAGGTCGCGTTCCTCTCTTTATAAGTGGTCTCGTCAAACTCATTTTAACCAATTTGTCATCAGGCTAAGGGCAACTCTAGTTCTTTGAAACCTCTAAGTCTTGCTTTCCTTGTCATGAACCCCAAGACAAAAGAGAGAGGTGATATATATATTTAGAACTTTAAACTAACATGGAGTTCATGTGTGACCACAGAGTGCGTCAAAACCTTTAGGATTTGGAAGCATTCCTTGGACTGGCTGTTTGGACATAACCAGTTTGAACAAAGTCACTTAGAATCCTTTATCCACAAAAGATTTCATGACCTTGAACATGTTGAATGAGAGTCCTCATAGAGATGGCATTTGCTGAGAAAGCATACTAAAGGTTCTCAGGCTACTTGCCTCTTTAGTCTAGGCACAAAAGAATAAATAGTCTTCCTGTTGCAAATGGGAACTAAGAACAAGAATTTTTGTACTCTCCCTCACGGATCTGCCATTGTAATGCTAAAGGACAGACAAATTTATATTTTTTTTTGAGATTGATAAGGGAAAAGGAGTCTATGTCAAATGAAACTTGAAGATTAAGCTCTGACTGTGAAAAGAATTTGAAATGTAATAGTGACTTAAAACAGAGACTGTCTACCTTTGTGTTTTCATTGATGCAGTTTTCTTCAGGGCCTTAATTACTATAAATTCATGTGTTGATCATAGACTACCACTTCATTTGCTGGAAACAGAGCAAATTCTACTCAATAAAAAGACACAAGCAAATATGTCTGATTAGACAATGGTTAGACTGCAATAAATTAACAATACTATTAAATAAAATTCCCAGCTTATGTGTGAAAAATAGAAAGATGAAATGATGAAATTACATGACATTTATGAGGTTTCTTTGCAGGAAACACTTTTTGAGATATGGGAAAGTAATAATAATGAAAAAAGTAGAGAGTATGTCTACCCTTGTTCTTCCAGAAGTGAGACATCATACTTCCATAGTAGTTACTTTGAGGGGGCTGTGAAAAAGTAATTAATGAATTTTGAGCACTTCACCCTTTGGGCCCAATTAAATTTTAGAGCTAGTTAATTAGCAGTTAAACTTATTTTGGTTCATTCATCTATAAAGCGCCTCAAAGAAAAGAAAACTAGATCTCAAGATTACAATTACTTCTAGCATACAAAAATAAATAATAATAATAAATAATAATAATCATGATAAGCAGAGTGAGAAGAAAGGGGCAGATAAAACCTCATTAAGACAATTATCTTAAAGTACATTTTTAAAGGAGGGTGAAAAATAATTGCTCGTTGTGCTAAACCTACGTTAATCTAATGAACCATGCAGATTCCTGTAGTTTCTCAGTGGTAAAAGGATTTACTATTAATCTGCTTCATTAAAAATTAATGAGGGGTAAATCAGCTGCTACTTAGTGTAATAGAAAATCATGCTAAATACTGTTTGTAAACTATGCTACACTCAGTATGGCTGCCTTGATGCAGTGCCTAAAATAGCTCATGTAAATTGCCAGATGTTGATAAATGAGTCTGTAACTTTCATTCAGAAGAAAGAAAGGAACTTTTCAGCTTTATAACTTCATCTGCTGTGTATGGAACTAGTTTTAGTAAGAGAGTGAATGTGAAGTTTCCTTGACAGCAGACATAGGTGAAGGAAGACCCTTGGTACTGCCATGACCTCCAGCTCTTGGAGCTCTGACCCTGAGTCAGAGGAAAGGAAAGGAGAAATGTAGTGCTGCCTAATTACAGTTTCCTGATCTCCTCTTTCTATATTTACAGGTCACTGGAGATATTTGGTCTTCCAAGTCAAGGTAGAAGCTGCTAATCAGCATGTTAAACCTCACTTTGTGCTGTCCTTGAATGATTACTTATCATACCTGTCCAATATACACAGGTACCAGTGAAATCTGTTCCTCAGTTGCAAAAAGTGGCTCCCATAGCCAGCCACGTTTCACTCTTCGAATTGCTGTGAAAGACTGATCTGTGTTTTGAGTGCTGTGCTTCTGCATGCTGGGAGAGCAAGGCCAAACTTGAACCAGCATCACCATGAGAGGTAGCAATGCAGAGAAATTCATGCTGAACACTTCTTTCAATCAATTTTAATCTGTGAAAGAGGAAAAGAAAAAAATCAGGAAAAAAAACCCTGTGACAAAGCATCACTTTTGTGCTTCCACTTTTATATATTGATTCTGTGCTAATGTAAGAGGTGATTTGCAGTGTTAAAACCTCCTCCTCTCCCTAAAAGGAAAGAACTGAAATAAAGTCTGTCTCTGATTAAAATAGAGATTCTTTCAGAGTCTGTGGCATGAGACTTTCTATAAAAAAGAAAAAAGGAAAATCATCCCTCAATTAATTCATCTTTCAAATTAAGCTGGGTAATTGTATTGTGTAGCCTAGGAATAATTTGATTGGAATAATTGTATGTTTCTGCTTAGACAGGGCTCATTTTGAGCTGCAGACGCAGAACTGCCTGAAGGGTGAACATCTACCCTTAGTGGCCCTGATGTCTGGCAGCTGAAATGGAGTGATGCAGATATTTTTTTAACCTCTTCTTAGCCACTTTCACAGTTCAGCAAAATGCCTGCAAAAATGCCAAAGGTGGTAGGGTACCATGAAGAAGCAGCAAAAATCTAAAATTTTCTCCTTCCTGGCCAATAAAAATTGTCTTAACTGATTGTATCACCTCTGACATTATAATCTGCAATTAAAGTAACAAGGGACAAATGCATCTTGAAAGCTGTAAGATTCTGCAGCTAGTTTCATTGGCACGAAGTATTCTTTCAGAAAATGAAGTCTTTGTACAAACTATAATCTACTACTGATTTTTTCAGTGATTTTTGGCACAATAAATGAAAGTCTACATTTTAAATATAATGCAACATAGCCACAATCTATGAGGCAAAAAGGAAATCTTTGAAAACACCATACACATTTCAAATCTTAAACCCCTATTTGGCAATGGCATTAACTATTCTTTTCAAGGCTTTATCTTTGAATAATAAGATTTCCTATGCAGGAGCAGTCTGATTCATGAATTTGCCACATGTCAGTCTGTTTGTACAACACACTGGAAAAGTATTTGGATGCATTTACCTTAGATCTGAAAAACCCATAAGTCTTTTAGCTGTTCAGGACAAAATGCAAGTTTATGTATTCTCAGTTAATGATTTAAATAATAATGTTGTAAATACCCATCCTTATCCAAAGGCAAATGACATAATTGCTTAAAAAGACAGACACAAAACTATTTCATTCCAGCAATTTGATATGATGTTAGACAACAGTTTGTTAAAATGCAATCTGTATATGTATATATATCTATTAAGAAAAAAGAAAAGTCACATAGATTCATAGGTGTTCAAGCGCACATTCCAATTTCTTCACATTTTCTCTTTTTTGGCTGTAAAGCTGTAAGAGTACAAGATGAGACTTGAATAGAAGGAATGTGACTTGGGTACTCTTTTGTCTCTGTTTCCTGTGGAAAACAGCTTATTTTCCCATAACTGCAAGAATAATATTTGTGACATGGAAGACAAGGCCAACAAAGCCCAACTTGGCTCTGAAATAAAGCTTGAGTGAGGTTTAAAAGGCCTAAAGACCTTGGAGAGTCTCTATGCAATACATGTACTTAACGCTAAGCAGTAATCCACACAAAAACTAACCTTGAAAATGAACATTCATTATATTGCAGTACATACCAAAGGACAGACAACTCAAACAATGAAAGCTGAATAGTCAAAGAGACCTTCCTGAGGAATCATACAAAAAATGCATTTCACTCACTCTTTATATGAGGAGACAGGTGTTGAGTCTGGGCCAGAGCAAATACTTCTGTCTAGCCTTTAGTTACTGCTTCGGATGATTGCTCTGATACTGTTCACCTTGTTCAACAGAATATTTCAGAGTTATGAGGCAGTATTTTGTTCAGAGTAAATGCCAAAAAAACAGCCATTATCAAACTCATCTGAAGACACCTTGGATGCACAACAGCATAATGAGGGTACAGAATATGGTTACGCTAGTCTGCTGTTAGCCACATTTTTGCAATATACTCAGCAGTTAGCTAAGAACAGCCCAAAGAGCACACTTAATATTTCGGTCTGTTTTGGTGTCTCCTTTTTACTAATTTATGTTAATAACCTGCGTTACATGGATCTAAGCACCACGTCTCAGACAAACCGAAGGTGAATAAATTTGTTTAGATTTTGACATATTGCACACTGTTATGTGTATACAAAGACTTTAATATGAAAGTACAGATGATAGACAAATTTCTGCAAAAAGCCATAAAACTATGTAATGACATTGAGAGCTATAAGCATTTGTTTTTCTCTCCTCTGCTATATCAAATATACTCAATTTGCCTTTACTTTCAGGACCTTTCAAAGCATATTTGCTTCTGACATCTTCCTACTCATTTGGCATTGAGACACTGCCTCCAGCCCCTGGCCAGCACATGTTGCCATTCTTTATAAATCTAATCGTTCCCTTGTAGAACAATCACCTTCTTTCTGTTCCGCTGATTGTAGCTCACTCTCAGCAATGGCTCTCATAAATTATACAGAAACTAATTTCTTATTCCCTTCTCTATTTCTAGTCTTTCCTTATGAAAATCTAAATTTCACTGTTACCTACTTAGAAAAAAAGAAGCGCTCACAGTGTTTAATGTGGTTCTGTGCTGAAACTGCTGCCTATCACTGTGACTAATATTGTCTCATTATTCCCTTGTACTTCCCTGTCTTTCCAAAAAACCATCAGTTGTCTTTTATGCTCATTTGGTAAGGTCTTTGTAAATGAAATGACCTTGTACTCTGTGTTATAATTATAATACGCAGTAGAAGGGAGGGTCAGTAACAGCAGTAAGATTTTGGGCTCTGTATCAATATACAGAGATAAATTTCTAACAGAATAAACTCTCATCAGGATAAAAAAAGGACATATTTTCAGAGATAAGCAAATGATCTATTATGCTCATTTGGTAAGGTCTTTGTAAATGAAATGACCTTGTACTCTGTGTTATAATTATAATACGCAGTAGAAGGGAGGGTCAGTAACAGCAGTAAGATTTTGGGCTCTGTATCAATATACAGAGATAAATTTCTAACAGAATAAACTCTCATCAGGATAAAAAAAGGACATATTTTCAGAGATAAGCAAATGATCTATCACTAATGGTTTTCCAATTTGCTTCTTTCTTATTCTTCAGGAAGTACATCTCCACTTTATCTCACATGCACTGGATTGCAAAAGTAAAGAGTGATACTTAAAGCAAAGCAATGAGAATAGCAATAAGTGGGCTACAGCTTTTAAAACAGCATCTTCCTTTCATACACAGTCAAACCCATGAGTTTCCTGGAGTCTAGATTTACCTTCTTGTCACAAAATTAAAGTATTTTGTTAGGTTTGTTCTGGAACATCACCAAGTGACCATCTGTCTCCATCTGAAACTGGGTATTAGTTTTAGGGGTGCTGGTAGTCTGACTTGGTTCTGAACTCCCTTTGTTGTAATAA